CAGGAATTGTGGAATCCATCCCTGGAATGGATTTCCCAGAGCAGCTGGGGCTGCCCCTGGATCCCTGGCAGTGCCCAAGGCCAGGCTGGGCAGGGCTTGGAGCACCCTGGGACAGTGGGAGGTGTCCCTGCCATGGCAGGGGTAGAACGAGATGGTCCCCAAGGTCCCTTCCAACCCAAACCATTCCATGATTTAAGTAAGGAATGGATCAAACCAAAACAAATAAGTCTTTGTATGGTCAAACAGATGGATAACTCTATGGCAAGTCTCTCTGTTCTTATTTTCTCAGGAGGATTCAGATCTGAACCCCCATGTCTGTGATTGTCACAGTTCATAGCACTTATCCCTGCTTATTTCCAAGCTATTTTAACCAAACCATAAAACATCTGTAGTGAAGAGGAAGAAATGTGACTGTTGCCAATATTTAATATACCAAACTGGTGATTTTAGTAGCTTCTTGAATCAGGAATAAAAGAAGAGCCTGCATTGCAGCTATTAGGAAAAAAAAAAAAAAGAGTAAGCAGGTGTTGGCTTAGTTTCTAAGCGCCCACATTGCTCCTGTTGGTTTATCTGATTGCAAACCAAGTGCACTGTAGCATGATGAATATGTAGCAGTGAATGTATGGGAAAGATGCTGGAAAGGTTGCACCCTGATGTTCTTAATCAGTAATTAGAAACTAAAAATAGTATTTTAAGGAAAGATAATAAATCTGTAGCCTTTAATCCTCATGTGCCAATGCGTAAGCTGATATCATTATTACATGAAAGGCAATGAGAACAGAAGTGAGTAAGCAAGAGCAGGTTGCTGTTACAGTCCCAGTAAAAATTCCACACAGCCCGAGCTGTCCAGGTGATGTTTGGCTCTGTCTGTTTTATGCAAAGTCTACACTCATAAAGCAGGTTAATTTGCAAACAGAGAATGCATACTTTTGTTGTTTATTTCCATTCCTTAACTGCCCTTACTTCCTGAAGCAGTCAATGAGTGGGGTTCCAAGTCTCTCTGCACTTGCCAGCTGGAGGCAGCAGCATGGATTTGGGAAAAAAGGACAGAAATGGGGGAAATGCTGTCCCATGACTGTGGCTCTGATACGTCAATGGGCTGAATCAACAGCTCCTGTGCTGTGCAGACACACATCTGCTGTGCTGATGACAGAGAAAGCATCCCCACTTAAGCAGAGCCTTTCATCTCAGCATTTAAATAGTCTGCAAGTGCCAAGATGTAGTTATTGCTGCACAGGTACCATCCCAGCTCATCCTGCTTCCTCTGCTCAAATCAGGCTGCCAGCCTTACCCTGTCCAACAGGGAAACCTCAAACAACGTCAGGGGCTGAATCACAGCAGCACAGCCACGGTTCCACTGACCAGCCCTCCCCTCATCCACACTCTGTCGTGTCCCTGGCACAACTGCAGGGATTCTTTACCTGGAAAAGCAATGCAAAGTATTTTAAATAGGGTAAACTCAAGGTGCAATTCAGTGTCCAGACAAAGGGACTGAGGCACAGTGACCTGCTGGTCACCACTGGCCTGCCCAGGGGCTCTTCATGTCAGGCAGAAGTGAGAGATCTGTTGTAAGCCAAAGATGGTGGGATAAAAATGTTAAAAAATGTCTATTTGCCAAGCATTTTTGAATTAAAAAAGGCTTTTTTCCCAGCAGTTTAAAACTCATTTGTCTCGCAGAAATGGCTGAAAGCAAGAGCCAGATAAAATTACTGGAAGTTGCCAGGAAACGTACTGTCATGGCTTAGTGCGAGTGCAGCGCAGAGATGATTAAAAAAGGCACCAAATGGTGAATCCCACTGGAAAAAGAACCAGAAAACCAGAAATCTACAATGGCTCTTTGGGTTCTGTGATACTAAAAGCAGTGGCAGTGGTAGACAGTGTCCTTATCTGAAGCTCTGTCCAGCTCTGTGGCAATTCATCCTTTCCAAGAGGAGGAGAAGGGGCATGGGCACAGCCAGGGCAGCAGCCTGGGTTGTCAGTATAGGGGACATGGAATGGTTTGGGTTGGAAGGGACTTTGGGGACCATCTCGTTCTACCCCTGCCATGGCAGGGACACCTTCCACTGTCCCAGGCTGCTCCCAGCCCTGCCCAGCCTGGCCTTGGGCACTGCCAGGGATCCAGGGGCAGCCCCAGCTGCTCTGGGCACCTGTGCCAGGGCCTGCCCACCCTGCCAGTACAAATCTTTCCCCTAATCTCAAACCTAACCCTACTCTCCTTCCATTTGAACCCACAGCGAGCTGAGGCTCCTCAGCTCCTGCGTTTCACTCATTCAGCGCTACCGAGGCCACAGCGGCTGCTCGGGCAGCGCCAGCAGGGCTCACAGCCGGCCTGCACGGGTGGGCGGACAGCAGGACGGACGGACAGATGGCTGGTTGGACGGACGGCTGGCTGATGGGTGGCTGATGAAGGGTGGCTAGAAGCCGCTGCCGCCGCTGCTCCTCCCCCGGCCCGTCCCGTCCCGTGCCCGCGCTCCGCGCCGCCTCTTGCGGCCGCCCCGCTCGGCTCGCAGCTGACGGGGGCAGCCCCTTGTTTACTGGCCGGGGCGCCGCCGCCAGCCCGGCCTGCGCTGGAAGGGGCCGCCGGGCCGGGGCCGACACCGCGGGCAGGGAGGGGCCCGGCGCTATAAAGGGGCTCCGCGGGGGCTCCACCGGCGATGCTCGGCCGGGCCCGGCCCCCGCGCCCGCCCCGCGGGCTCTGATTCGCGCCGGGCGGCGGCGGCCGCGGCAGCGGCGCGGGATGGGACCGAGAGCGGCGGCGGCGGCGGCGGCGCTGGCCGTGGCCGTGGTGCTGGGAGCCTGGTGCGGCCGCGGCCGCGGCGAGAGTGAGTCGGGGCCCGGCCGGGAGGGTTGGGGGGCGGCGGCGGCGGCGGCGGCGGGGAGGGCCCGGCCCCGCCGTGCCCTTTGTACCTACGCGGGGCCCGCGGGCAGCGCGGCCGCGGCCCGGAGCGCTCCCGGGTCACCTTCACCCCCGGCCCGGGGAGGGCCCGGCGGCGGTCGAGATTGGAGCGGGCACGGCCGCGGGGAGGGAGGGCAGCGGCTGCCCCGGCGCGTCCCGGCCCGCGGGGCCCCGCGCAGGCGGGCGCTGGGCCGGGGTCAGCGGGGGCCGCGCCCGGGGCAGGCGCGGGGAAGGGCACGGGCCCCTCTCGGTGCCGCTCCCCGGCTCCTTCCGTGGGCAGTTGCCCCGTCCCTTCCCCGATTTCCCCGATTCCTCCCCAGGTCCCCTGCCCAGTCCCCTCCCCGGGCCCTGACAGGGTCTGTTCCTCGGTTCCCTCCCCGGTCCCTTTCCCGGACCCCTCTCCGACCCCTTCCCTGGGTCCCCTCCCTCGATCCACTCCCCGGTCCCTTCCCCGATTCTTTCCCGTGTCCCTTCCCCTCTCCCTCCCCGGTCCCTTCTCGGGTCCCTTCCCTGTTCCCTTCCCCGGTGCCCTCCCCAGCCCTGTGCCCCCGCCGCTCCTCGGCTGCCTCAGAACCGGCTCCGGTTTCAGGAGGGTTTAGTGTGGCCAGACGCGGAGGTTTTGTCTTTAACCACTTTTAGGTAGTGTGCCAAATCCACAGGTATTAAGATGGGAGAGCTCCGGGGGGAGGCTCTGTGTGTACACAGGGGCTTGTAAAATACAAGACAGGGGAATAAAGATGTTGTGTTGGAGGTCACAAGCTTGTTAAACCCACGGCTGGCTCGAGGTTAAGCCTTACGAGCTGTTTGATGGGCTACGTTAAATAAACTTGCTCAGGAAATCCTTTTAATGAGAGGTTCTTTAATTTAGGTGATTCTTACAATTTTTTTGACAAAAGGAAAATATTTATTTAAAGACAGCTAACTGGATCTGTGGGTCATGTCTCCCATAGAAAATCTACCTGTTGGCTTTCCCATCGGAAAAGGCAAGAGCAAGAGAATCAGTTCAAGTAGAGACAGCACAATGATGGACATTATTGGGATATGTATAGGATCCAGTGAATAAAGCAGCATGTTCCTGTAAGACAACCTCTTTTTCCAGCAATAGGACAAGCCATATATTTCAAAAATAACCCAGTTTCTTCCCTGACACGTTTGAAACCTCACAAGAGGCCGGTGACACTGTGTTACCTTGGGAGGGTCAGCCCCAGCTGCTGTGGGCAAACCTGCCCTCCTCCAGCAGAGATGGAAAAGGCAGTTGACATATAGCACTAATAATAAATAAATACGTGTGCAACTGGAGTCCAGCAGTTCCTAATTTGAAAACACTATTATTATTACTGCCACAGCACAGCCTGTGATTTGGTTATTTATTTAAATCATATTTGCTTTTTGGGGTTCAAGCGTGTTTGTGTTCTAAACTCCCTGATCTTTGCTGTGTTACAGCGTGGTAGGAAAATGTACTCTTGAGTTCATGGATGGAGGAGTAGGGGCACAAGACAGCAAAGCAAAGCGTGGGCTGGAACATTTCCGTGTCATTTTTACCATGCAAATACTTGATGAAGTACTCTACAGACAGGGTTCTGATGATTGAAGCTGATTTGAAAGGTTTTGTGCTGTTTGATTCCATTTTCTGGCTCAGTTTTCTGGGAATGGTGAGGTCACGGAGCAGCACGGTGGGGACGGAAAACAGAAACAAAAAACCAGGGGGGGAAATGCGCGTACAAGAGCTGCGTGAGCAAACAGGTTGTTCCCTGAGCAACGGGGCTGATGGAGGCAGCTTTCTTGGAGATCTGTGCCCTGTGTTCCCTCTGAAAGCCTCTCCAGGGACAGAACTCCCCCCATCCATGGTTTTTCCTTGTGCCCTGTGAATTCCTCTCCCCTCTGGTGCCTTGAGGCAGAGCTGGGGGCAAGCAGCAGGTGGATGGAGGTGGTTGAGTAGAAAAATGGGCTGGATGGTAAAGTTCACAGTGACAGCCAGATGATGAGTTTCTCCTCCTCAATCCATCCCCTTTTCCTAAATATTTTAGGAATACTTCAAGTGAAAACACAATATTCACACTAAGCGCTCTTCCTCTCCTACATGTGGTTAAGGGTAGTTGTTGAGTTCAGGAATTACTGACAGGAGAGGGAGAAAGGGTTAAGGAAAGAAAGCCTGACTTGTGCATAAAATGAAGATCCATATATCTCGTTTTGGGAAGAAAGACAGTTTTGTGTATTTTTTTAATGACTGTGTAAACACAATGCAACTTCTTGAAATAAATCTCGCACATGACTCATGCCTGTCAGTTCATTAGCTCTGGTATTTGGGGTGGGATTTACCTCACCTAGTTTTAGGCATCTGCTAATGGAGCAGCTTCCTTTGGGCTTCTTTTCTGGTTAATAGAAAACTGGTCAATGCAATCGTGGATGTTTGGAATGCTCTTCCTCCCCTCCTGAACTCTTCCCCTAAATTTGGGTGCTGCCCATGTGCTCCAGTACCTGCTGCTGATCTGAGTTGGGAATGCAGTTGAGAGATCTCTGCCTAAATCATCCTGTGGGACAAATTTCCCTGTGAATTGCTGTAGTAACACACTTCTAAAATAGGTTACTTCTTAGTTAGTATCATATCTGGCTGATACAGATATTTTTGTGCTCGTAAACTCATTAAGAAACTGCTCCCTTGTCCCACCTCAAGCCTGTGTTAGAGACTCAGTGTAGAATGAATTTTTTATGAAAATAAAAGTAGAAATACAGGAGAGAAAAGTAGGAGAATAAAGTAAGAAAAGTGAGTGCAGAAGGGCAGGGCTGTACCAAACCCAGCGTGTCCTGTCCCTTTTTTGGGGACGGGCAGCACAGTGGCCGTCTCTGAACAGTGTAAATAAAACCCCAGAGCTTTCTGGAGGTAATTTTTGGGGTGAGTGCCTTGTGGAATATCAGTGGTGCTGATATGGGCAAGGTGTAGAACCTGTTCCTGCTGCCTTTGGAGCAGGGAGGATCCTCAGGAGCGTCAGCCCCAGCACAGACCCCGAGTTACCCCGAGGGTGCTGTCCTGGTTATCTCTGCGTGGAAATGGGGCAGGACGAGTCCTGTTTGCAGTTTGGGTTCTGAACCAAGTGAGGGGAGCACAAACACAGCCCAAACCAGGCTATAAAGGGCAGACTTTGAGGGGTTTACCCTCGGTTTGGGCGGTGAGAAGCTTCACTCATTTCTTTTTAGATTCACCTTTAGCCAACCTTTGTTCCTTAACACATCTTTTCAAAATATTTGG